TAGTATTTTATATCAATTAATTAATAGTATAAAATACAATAACTTATTATACGGGTAAAAATAAAAACACGGTGAGTGTGTGTTTGTTTGAACACGGAGATACTATAGTTGTTTCACTCTAATAGATTTTGTGTTGGCGTAAGTGCTATGTTAACGCCGAGATGTTCTATCTATCTAATCTTATATCTATCTAATCATAGAATCGCATCACGGTGCATGTTTAAAAATAGAATTAAAAATCAAATTATTGTATTTACGTTTTACTAATAAATTCAAGTTTATAATTCACCACTGATTCCGCGTTAGTACTGTTTTTTTATTGGAGGCAAAAATCATTAAAAATTTCGGTTGTTGCATTATGAAAGAAAGACAAAGAAAAAATTGATTGTAGAGTGGGCTGCAATTACTCTTCTCAACACTGAGTATTCTTTATCCCAACTTTTTGCTCAGTGAGACGTTGCTAGGTAAAATTTGCATCATACGGGGTAGAAAACGTACAGCATGTGAACAGCAATGGCTGCTTTCCGGTTAATTGTTGTCGCTCGCACATTATATGCGTTATTATCTGCGTTACGGATGCTGGACATCGGACAAGACTGGTTGACTAGTAATGGGGCATGATTATCCATTGTGCTCAAGCGGACTGTGGCCCAGGTCAACGATACACGGGCATGCGTGGTTGCTTTTGCTACCGCCCACATTGAAATAAGAACATACATTACCATCTGTTTGCGCCTGCGTCTTGCTCGCCCTTAATACTGTTAGAAATCAACTTTCACTTCTTTTTATAGCCGTAATCAGACAATTTTGTATGCGCGTAATTGCGCGGTTACTTATATTGTGTTGCAAAGTTAGACTGACATGAATACTACTTATTGAAAATAACACGGGTATTATATTCAGGCCGACTCTAAGCGGAATACGTGCCGACTTCGAGTTATGTCACCAGTACTTTCACAAACTGTAGGCCTACTCTCGCCTTTATCCCAATCTAAATAACAAAGTTATTTAATATTTAAATAAACAAATAAATGAATAAATATAATATATATGCATGTGTGATGTTTTTGTATATACCTACCGGGGAAAGGGTTTGTCGTCTCTATAGAGCGTAGCCACAATACAAGTATAATTAGCAACCAGGACCGAGATAAATGGGAAAAGTTAGTCTTCTGTGAAACGATTTAAATTTCGGTTTTATAATACGCACGCATCGGCACTGATAACAGGAATGATTAACCTGTGAAGTGATCCGGCAACGTTGGCGCAGATACAATAAACTGGAACAACCAGATTAAATGCACGCCAGATATAGCAGTTGAGGATATATGGGGAGCTAGGTACATTATTCGAAGCTTGGCGCTGGGTGGCAGTGAGTCTACTATAGTCATCCGGCGCTGGCAGATATGCATGGCGATTATATCAAAGGTAAGGTTTGTCGTATAGTTATATAAGTAATATAATTACGTATATGATCGAGGCATTATAGTTCCGCTTCTGAAACCTATTGTGAAGACGTTCAGAATGTTGGACTCACTTTTACAGACTTACTACGTTCTTCTATATGAGATGTAGAACTGATGTAGAACATGTGTAATCTCAGTGTATCACGTAATGATTTAATGTAGTGACCCAATGGTTAGTCACAAGTTAGTGTTCAGACGGCGATTGCGTCGTAACCGATATTGCAACGTCAGCAACTTGTGTTAGAAATCGGCAGTTTTTTTAACACACCTATCCCTGAAAGCTTCGTCTATGGAAACGTTCGTGAATATGTAATCGACTAGATACAATAACGTAAGCCAACAGAGTAGTTGGTATATAATATTAGGTTATATTATTTGATCTAGTGATCGACTAGTAATTTCACGCGTCCGATTCTGTAGATCACTGTTGCCACGAATGTCGGGTTACCACAGTAAATGAATGGTAATTTTAGTTTCTAAATCTGTGCATAGTATTCAGCTGTCAGCTCATGAGCAACTGCATACTCAATTCGAATAGAAACAACAAATAGAGCACGCGGCTATATAATTGGGGGCTTTCAAAGCCGTGTCGTTCAGTCAAGGCTTCCAATATCAGAGCACCAAGACGGAGCTTTTTGAGGATTCACTCATTCATTAGCTGTATAGCTGTAGGATTACTACACGTCCGGTTTGCCGGGTCTTACAGATCGGTTCCCGTCATTCCCAGTGATAGCTTCAAGCATACCGCTTACAGTACTTTTATACAGTTACAACAGTTTCACTCTCCCTCCTGAAAGATTTTATCGTAGTTTGTGATTGATGGTTTTCCGCAGGTACCCTAGTAATTATAAGCCAACTACTATGTAGTGACTGGAGTCACCCACCGTTCTTCCTGCACGTCAAGTTGATTTCATTGCCTCGACATGCCCCAGGCACTGGTTCTAGTACATATACGGAAACATTACAACATTGTTTTCCTTAGTTCATTGACGATGATAATGGCTGGTTCCTCATCCTCTCAATTGTCATATATACTCAGAGTGCATCCATGTATCCGATCTGGGTTCTCTGTGAAGTTGCTTGTCCCTGCTCCACGCTGACACAACTTACACATGAAACTGGTTAAGAATAATCGGAACTGGTATTATGTGGCGTGGAAGACTTCAAACAATAACCTAAATAAAAGAATAACGCGTCGGCGTTTCTATAGGGAAGCTCGTGAGCTCGTGTAACAGGCACGTGTGATCGTATAGTCTGACCAGGGTCGTGTACAACAGATACGTGTGCAAATAGCACTTACGCCACAGACAGTATAATTAATGCTATAACCACAGAATTACTAAGGTTACTCTATTATTTAATGAACAACATCATATCGACAATTACATACAATACATAGGTGGCTGCGCAAGCCAACCAGTAAATACGATAAAATACGATACAATACATATCTTATACACCAGGCACATACAGACAAGCGACTGGTTTACAAATGCAGTACATATTTACGAGCGTGGAGTCCTGCAGATCGCAGGCAGGTCCTGGCGGTGTCGGAAACGGTAGCAGTGAGCAGGTGAGATCAGCGGAACCTGGCTGGTGCTGACAGCGTCGGGAGCTGTCAGGCACCGTGGAACCGGGTCTGTCTTCTTGTCAAAACTGCTCGGTATTTATACAACTGGAGGAATGCATGGCCTGAGCGTGGTCAAGACCTTGTTGACGATGGTGGTGCAAGACGTGTCGTCATCTTCAACATTTTATGGGTGACTGAAGGTGAGAAGCTGTGGACGCTTCTTGAGTCTGGTGTGGGAATCGCGGCAGTTCGATTCATGTTCTTCATATTTCCCATAGTTCACATTTGTCGGCGGCGTTCGTTGTTTGATCTTCATCAGTCGGCATGTGACATCAAGCTGTGACGTCTTTCTATAGGTACTAAAATAGCATTACATAGTCTCGCCTTGTGTAGGTGATTACTTTCTCTCTCCTTTGTTGTGTCACACGCGCGACACATGTGCGCCACGCGACCGGCGTGTGCGACCCGTGTCGCTCGCTGCGCTCGGCTCATGTTACCTTGACCGTTATTAAAATAACCTAAGACGTGATCTGCTTACGTTTAATGACCCGTGTCGCTGGGTTTTTATACTAGGTTAAATAATAATCGATATCTACGTCACTACATTTCCAAGGGCGGATCCCAAATAAAAACAAAACAAATGAGGTATATATATATATATTACGACATGCAAACGCGACAGGCATGGAAGAAGCAGAATTAGAGTAATAAAAAGGAAGATGAAAAGAAGATAAAAAGAATAAGAAGAGAAAAATAATCCCGACACAAACTAACGCGTGTTCATAGAAATACGTCATTGATTATTAACATTTCGGTGATTTGTGTAATCGGGTTTGTGTAGTAACGAGTGCGATGTGAAACTTTGTATACGTGTGTGGAGAGAGGTAGAGCGTGAAGCAGGTGACTACTGCCTCTGTGCGCGACTATGTGTTCACAACTATCGCCCTGCATGCAATGATGACCGATATCCTGTGCTGGTTGTGACAGCGTGTCGTTGGTGGTTAAATTATGTGTTTATTGCAGGAAGCAAGGTAAGATGGTTCTACATTAAAAATCACCGATGTTCACCGCTGTCATCGCGTGCTATTTCAGACGTCAATACTAGTCAAATAAATAATACGCGCGGCGATTGCCAGAGAAAATCCGAATTGGTACTCCTAGGCTACACCAGACAGTTTAAGTATATGATGAGTGATATATACCAGAGATAATCAGGGATAACGAACATTATATTGTGAGTATTATTAAATATAGAATGCTAGGCCTATAGTATATACTGGCATAGTGGCCTTGTTGTAATAAAAAATAGAGAGGTTTGTTTACTATTTATATAAACAATTTAATGCAAAAATAGCTAGGTTGCGTATAATGTATTATCTTATTAGATCAGTAATTTCTTCGCGTTATACAATTATGTTAGCGCACATGTGTCACAGACCATGTCCAGGCATATTTAGATCGCGGATAAGTGTCTGTAATTGAGCTGTAAACTTGCCTGTTAACGTAGCTTAATGTATTCCAAGGTATGCGTGGATGAAAGCATTTACAATGAGTATTTGATTAACGATTCATGAGCTGATTTAAACTAAAATGAAACTCTGCTAAAACAGCGTCGGAAGACACGAAATGATATCGAAATGATATCTCTACGGTTGTATAGCAAATGAGCAGATTCAGAATAGCCCTAGTGTGTAGCCCATCATTGAACAGAGTAGATGTCCGGTGTTGCTAGCTTTCCTTTGTTTAATGCTATTTAACGTACGAGCATTTACTTGACTCTATCGCTACTCGGTATTCAATAGCTCATCGCATATCGAAAATTGATATATCGGGCACGTGCACAGTCTATAAAAATGTATTGAACTTTTGATTTTGCCTGGCTATGTTTAGATAGTTATTTTGATACTATCGAAATGCGCTCCAACGGATGGCTTGTGATTATCATGCTACTTGAGACCGCAGTGATGAGAGCAGTAAAGGCACAGCAACATGCACGCCATACTGATCCATGGAACATAAATATCCCAGAAGAACACCTTTCTCAGTATTTTTACAACCAGGATAAGCTATCCCGAAGATGCGAAGAATGGCAGAATTGCCCTTACAAGGTAATAAACCATGTTTCACACCCGCACACATTTCCGCGCATACGCGTACGGTCGGCAACCTCGCATGCATATTTAGGCAGGCACCACGCACTCACACATGCTCGTACACACACACACACACACACACGCACGCACACACACTCATATACACGCACGCACGCATGCACGGCGGACGGGCGCGCACGTCCACACTTACGCGCTCACGCACGCACGAGCCCATGCGGTCACGCACACGCACACAGGCACGCGTACGCGCACACAGGCACGCGTACACGCACACATGCACGCGCCCACGCACGCACGCGGATACATACATACATACATACATACATACATACATACATACGAATACATCTACATACATACATACATACATACATACATAATACAATCATACATACATAATACATACATACATACATACCATACATACATATCATAACATACATACATACATTACATACATACTACATACATACATACATACATACATACATACATACACATACATACATACATAACTATCACATCTACATTACATACATACATTACATACAATACATACATACATACATACATACATTACACACACACACACACATCACATACATACCATACATACATACATACATAACATACATACATA